TGTACTTTGTCAAGTGCTTTTTCTGCATCTATTGAGAGTATCATATGGTTCTTGTTCTTTCTTTTATAAATGTATTGTATTACATTGATTGATTTGTGGATGTTGAACCAACCTTGCAGCCCAGGGATAAATCCCACTTGGTCGTGGTGAATAATCCTTTTAATGTACTGTTGGATCCTATTGGCTAGTATTTTGGTGAGAATTTTTGCATCCATGTTCATCAGGGATATTAGTCTGTAATTCTTTTTTAATGGGGTCTTTGTCTGGTTTTGGGATCAAGGTAATGCTGGCCTCATTAAATGAGTTTGGAAGTTTTCCTTCCATTTCTATTTTTTGGAACAGTTTCAGAAGAATAGGTATTAATTCTTCTTTAAATGTTTGGTAGAATTCCCCTGGGAAGTCATCTGGCCCTGGGCTGTTGTTTGTTGGGAGATTTTGGATTATAGCTTCAATTTCCTTACTGGTTATGGGTTTGTTCAGGTTTTCTAGTCCTTCCTGGTTTGGTTTTGGTAGTTTATACGTCTCTAAGAAGGCATCCATTTCTTCCAGATTGTCTAATTTGCTGGCATATAGTTGCTCATAATATGTTACTGTAATTATTTGTATTTCTTTGGTGTTGGTTGTGATCTCTCCTCTTTCATTCATGATTTTATTTATTTGGGTCCTTTCTCTTTTCTTTTTGATAAGTCTGGCCAGGACTTATCAGGGGTTTATCAATCTTATTAATTCTTTCAAAGAACAAGCTCCTAGTTTCATTGATCTGTTCTACTGTTCTTTGGTTTCTATTTCATTGATTTCTGCTCTGATCTTTATTATTTTTCTTCTCCTGCTGGGTTTAGGCTTTATTTGCTGTTCTTTCTCCAGCTTCTTTAGGTTTAGGATTAGGTTGTGTATTTGAGACCTTTCTTGTTTCTTGAGAAAGGCTTGTATTGCTATATACTTTCCTCTTAGGACCACCTTTGCTGCATCCCAAAGATTTTTGAACAGTTGTGTTTTCATTTTCATTTGTTTCCATGAATTTGTTTAATTCTTTTTAAATTTCCTGGTTGACCCATTCATTCTTTAGTAGGGTGCTCTTTAGTCTCCATGTATGTGAATTCTTTCCAACTTTCCTCTTGTGATTGAGTTCTAGTATATGTGCTGCCAAAGCGAGCACTCTTGTGATTGAGTTCTAGTTTCAAAGCACTGTGGTCCAAAAATATGCAGGGAATGATTCCAGTCTTTTGGTACCAGTTGAGACCTGATTTGTGACCCAGAATGTGATCTATTCTGGAGAATGTTCCATGTGCACTAGAGAAGAATGTGTATTCTGTTGCTTTGGGATGGAATGTTCTGAATTTATCTGGGAAGTCCCATCTGGTCCTGTGTGTCATTTAAAGCCTTTATTTCCTTGTTGATCTTTTGCTGAGATAATCTGTCCATTTCAGTGAGGGGGGTGTTAAATTCCCCTACTATTATTGTATTATTGTCGATGTCTTTCTTTGATTTTGTTATTAATTGACTTATATAATTGGCTGCTCCCATGTTAGGGGCATAGATATTTAAAATTGTTACATCTCCTTGTTGGATAGACACTTTAAGTATGATATAGTGTCTTTCCTCATCTCTTACTATAGTCTTTGGTTTAAAATCTAATTTGTCTGATATAAGGATTGCCACCCCAGCTTTCTTTTGATGTCCATTAGCATGGTAAATTGTTTTCCACCCCCTCACTTTAAATCTGGAGGTGTCTTTGCATCTAAAATGAGTCTCTTGCAGATAGCATATCAGTGGGTCTTGTTTTTTTTTATCCAATCTGATACCCTGTGTCTTTTGGTTGGGGCATTTAGCCCATTTACATTCAGGGTAACTACTGAAAGATATGAATTTAGTGCCATTGTATTGCCTGTAAGGTGACTGTTACTGTATATTGTCTCTGTTCCTTTCTGGTCTATGTTACTTTTAGGCTCTCTCTTTGCTTAGAAGACCCCTTTCAATATTTCTTTTAGGGCTGGTTTGGTGTTTGCAAATTCTTTTAGTTTTTTTTTCGTCCTGGAAGCTTTTTATCTTTCCTTCTATTTTCAATGACAACCTAGCTGGATATAGCATTCTTGGCTGCATATTTTTCTCGTTTAGTGCTCTGAATATAACATGCCAGTCCTTTCTGGCCTGCCGGGTTTCTGTGGATAGGTCTGCTGCCAATCTAATGTTTCTACTGTTGTAGGTTACAGACCTCTTGTCCCGAGCTGCTTTCAGGTCTTTTTCTTTGTCTCTGAGACTTTTAAGTTTTACTATTAGGTGTCGGTGTGTTGACCTATTTTTATTGATTTTGAGGGGGGTTCTCTGTACCTCCTGGATTTTGATGCCTGTTTCCTTCCCCAAATCAGGGAAGTTCTCTGCTATAATTTGCTCCAATATACCTTCTGCCCCCCTCTCTCTTCTTCTGGGATCTCAATTATTCTGATATTGCTTCATCTTATCACTTATCTCTTGAATTCTTCTCTTGTGATCCAGTAGTTGTTTATCTCTCTTTTTCTCAGCTTCTTGATTCTCCATCATTTGGTCTTCTATATCACTAATTCTCCCTTCTGCCTCATTTATCCTAGCAGTTAGAGCCTCCATTTTTTATTGCACCTCATTAATAGCCTTTTTGATTTCGACTTGGTTAGATTTTAGTTCTTTTATTTCTCCAGAAAGGGATTCTCTAGTATCTTCTATGTTTTTTCAAGCCCAGCTAGTATCTTTATAATCGTCATTCTGAACTCTACTTCTGACATCTTACTAACGTCTGTATTAATTAGGTCCCTGGCAGTTGGTACTGCCTCTTGTTCTTTTTTTTTTTGAGGTGAGTTTTCCGTCTTGTCATTTTGCCAGAGAAGAATAGATGAATGAGAGAACAAAATGCTAAAAGGTAACAATGCCCCCAGAAAAATATACGCTAAACCAATCAGAAAAGACTAAAAACCCGGGGGGGGGGGGGAGGGAGGGGAAGAAAGGGAAAAAAAAAAGAATATGACCAGGCTGGTGAATAGAACAGAGCCACAGGCTAGATTTTGGGTGTATTTTGGTCTGTTAGAAGAAACTGCCTCCCAAAATTTTAAAGAAAGAAAAACATATATATACAAAAATAAGGGTAAATATGATGAAGGGATGGACTATGACTAAAGATGAAAATTAAAAAAGATTTTTAAAAAGGAATTGGTAAGATAAGATGTTGGTTGAAAAAGGAAAAGAAAAGTGCAAAAAAAAAAGAAAGAAAGAAAATAAAAAAAATTAACTTTGAAAGACTAAAGAATCATGGGAAGAAAGCCATGAATTCTATGTGCAGTATTCCCCTAGTGCTGGAGTTCTGTCGTTCTCATTGATCAGTAAACTTGGTCTTGGCTGGCTGTTCTTGCTGATCTTCTGGAGGAGGGGCCTGTTGCTGTGGTTCCCAAATGTCTTTGCCGGAGGTGGAATTGCCCTGCCCTTGCCAGTCCAGGCTAAGTAATCTGCTCGGGTTTGCTCTCAGGAGCTTTTGTTCCCTGCAAGCTTTCTGTACAGCTTTGGAGGACGAGAGTGAGATGGTGGCCTCTCAATCTGTGCCCTGGAGGAGCTGAGAACTCGGGGCCCCGCTCCTCAGTGCGCCCCCAGAGAAAAGCAGTCAGTCACTCCCGTCTCCCCGGTCTTCGGCCCGCACTCCGTGCTCACCCGGCCTGTGACCGAGCGTTTCTATCTCAGGCACCCAACACGGTGTGGAGTCTCCAAACCCAGCAGATCCCTGTGGTGCACTCCTGTGCCACTCTTCCCAGGGGAGGAAGGGGAGTCTCCCTGGATCTGCCGCTTGTTGGGTCCCTGCTGGAGGAGCAGTGGCCCGACTTGCTGTGGATCACAGTTTATGGCAACCCTGAGCTGAGAGTCCACTCCTCAGCTCCGTCTCTGCAGCCGGCTTCCCCGCTCTGATACCCAGGAGCTCTGCCGCACTCAGGCACCCCTGGTCTTTCTGTGACCCCGAGGGTCCTGAGACCCCACTGTCCTGCGAGGGTTCCACCCCCCGCTTAGCCACTGGAGCGATGTCCCTCCGCGGAGCCGACTTCTAAAAGTTCCGATTTTGTGCTCCGTGGCTCTATCACTTGCCAGAAGCGGCTGACGGAGGCCCCCTCCCCCGCTGTCTATCCTCCTGAATATCGCCTCGGACTCGCTTCTCCGCACGTCCTACCTTCCAGAAAGTAGTTGCTTTTCTGTTCAGAGAATTGCTGCTATTCATTTCTTCAATCTCCTGTTGAGTTCGTAGGCGTTCAGAATGGTTTGATCCCTATCTAGCTGAATTCCTGGGACCAGGTGAAATCCAGGTCTCCTACTCCTCTGCCATCTTGCTCCTCCTCCTCTAAGCCTAAAATCTTTGAAAATGTGTGTGTATTCTACAGCTGTATTGTACAGCTGTACCATACTTTATTTGACCATTTCTCTATGGGTAATCATTTGGGTTGTTTCTAATTTGTTGATGTAATAAATTTAAAAACTGTTAGTCTCTTAGTAGTTACTGTTCTAGTAGCAGATCATTTATGATAATCTGGAGCTAATAGGCAATTTTGTAAATTATCCTTTATATGTTTTTACTCACATAGCATAGTGCTTTTCAGAATGTGACCTAATCCATCCAGAAATATGATTGCAGCTGGATAGGACTGTACATTAGTGACTGTCTTGAGTAATGGTTTCCAGAGGCCATTAAGCTAGCATATTGCATTTTAATTGTGACTTTCTAGATATTGGGGGGACACTCAGGTCCTTTTTCTATTTCTAGGATATATGTTTTAACTAACACCACATCCTTTTTTTTTTTTTTAAAGTTTGTTTATTTAAGTAATCTCTTCACCCAACGTGGGACTCAAACTCACGACCTTGAGGTCAAGAGCCGTATGCTCTTCCAACTGAGGCAGCCAGGCGCCCCAACTAATACCATTCCTAATCAGTTTTATAGAAGAGAAATTTCTTGAATACCTAGTTGTTTGGTTGGTTTGTGATTTTTCTTTTTTTAGGTGAGTGCCTGGGTGGTGCTTTATACTGGAAGAACCTTGCCATCCTTGCCCAAAAAATTGGTTTCTGCACTCCACGTTTGGTCACTGCCAATCTCATTACAGTTCAAAACAAGGAATTAGAAAGAATGATAGGTAAGAAAGAGCAGTGGGGAATGTTAAAACTGCTCCTTGAGTGGTTCAAATGTGGTGTTTAGCAAGAGTGTAACTAAGTGGGTCTCATTGAAGGAGACTTTGGGTCATCTGGAAACCTCCATCTTGTCTTCTGTTTAATAGCAACCTCCCAAAGTTTGGTATTTAATAAAGCACTTCAAAGTTATTTGGTAAATAAAGTGAACTGCCCAGAAAGATAACTGGTGGCATGCAAAGAAGGAAATCACCATTATAATCTCTATGCTCTTCATCTACTAAGCAAACCAATAGCCATTTGGGAGCTGGAGCTGAACCATGGGTAAATTCTGTTTTAGGTGACTGTCGTTTTGTTTCTGCAACATTTCGCCTCTTCAAACTCCCTAAGACAGGACCAGCCAAAAGATGCCAAGTGATTTACAATGGAGGAATCACGGGACACGAAAAAGAACTAATATTTGATGCAAATTTCACATTTAAGGTAAATAAAAATTTCCATGATTTTGGACATTCTTTCTACTCTTACATTTGCTCCAGGTACCTTTTCTTAACCTTGCATTGCTTCTCCCTTTCCTGGTGTTGGGACATGTGCATGTGTATATTTATGCTTTTGCTGAACCATTAAAAGTAAGTTGCAGACATCGTGACATGTTATCCTTAATATTTCAGCATGCATCTCCTAAGAATAAAATATTCTCGTACATAACTACAATATCACTGTCATACCTAAGAAAATCTTTTATGGGAAGTATCCATCAGACATCAGATTAATGGAATTACAGAGAAGCAGTATGGAAAAGAATAGAAGTATTGTGCAACAGTATTTCAGTGGTTCCACTTGTATCATAGAATTAAGGAACTCTTGTTGTTTAATGACAACATATTGATATTTCTACTACTCTTTGCAGGGCATTCTTTATTTCCTCAAAATGGAAAAGTGTAGGCTTTGGCATCAGATTCTGGGTTCAAATTCTGGGTTCAAATTCTGGTTCTATTATTTATTCTGGTTCTATTCTGGTTCAAATTCTGGTTCTATTATTTATTACTTGGGTAAACTTGAATAAGTCCTTCTTTGAGATATAGTTTGCTCCACTGCAAGAGTAGGGGTAATAATACCTACTGTGTAGAATTTCTATAAGGAAAAAAAAAAAAGATTAACAGTAATATAGGGGCCCCTGTCTGGTTGAGTCAGTAGAGCCTGCGACTCTTCGTCTCCAGGTTGCAAGTTCAAGCCCCATGTTGGGTGTAGAGATTACTTAAAAAATAAAATTTTAATAAAGATTAGCAATAATATAGCAGAACCTTGGTACATACTGGGAACTCAGTAAATAGAAGATATAATCATGATTTGTTCCAAAGGTAGCTGTTTCCCACCTCTGATTTTTTTGGTCCGAATAGCATCTTCGAAGTTCTTAACTACTCCCTGGTGCTTTTGATGCTTTTTCACTGATCCACTGCCCCTTGGTGTACTGCCTGCTTCTGTAGGGTCACAGAATCAAAGTGGGAAGGGCCTTTGAACCCATCGCTCTGATATAGTGGCTTTCAAAAAACCCCCATCTTTAATAGCAGAATTCCTTTTTAAAGGGAGATCTTATTTAAAAAAACAATACTTGGGGCATCTGGGTGGCTCAGTCGGTTAAGCGTCTGCCTTTGGCTCAGGTCATGATCTCGGGGTCCTGGGATCGAGCCCCACATTGGGCTCCCTGCTCATCGGGGAGCCTGCTTCTCCCTCTCCCTCTGCCTGCCGCTTCCCCTGCTTGTGCTCTCTCGTTCGCACACTCTCTCAAAATGAATAAATAAAATCTTAAAAAAAAAATTTAAAAAACCACAAAAAACCAATACTTACTATGTGTCAGACATTGCTTTACGTAACCCCAGTATATGAAGGGGTGAATGCAGAGCTTATCTGAAGGGAGCAGGGGTTAGATAACCCAGAATCGCCTGTACTCACTCCTGGTTCCCATGGCATGAGCCTTTTATATAGCCCCCCAGGCACCCTGGGACTCACAAAAATACACATTAACACTATTATTTTAATTTAAACCCTCATTTTAATGATGAATAAGGTGAAACTCAGATAACAGTGGTTTTCTACATCTGTCTCTGAGGAGAGAGGGGATACTGGAGCAATGAGTGTCCTTTTTTTTTTTTTTTTTTTTTTTGCTTTGCCACCAAAGAAAAACTGATTATGACACTGGTCAATTACATTTTGAAATGAGCATGAAACTAGTGGCAGGGTCTGAACAGAAATATCGTTTCTGAAGATACAGTCTTTTTATCCTGAAATGTCACTCCTTAGTAAATCCTTTGTATGTTTTTCTTTTATTAAGATTAAAGTGGCATATCTTGGGGCACCTGGGTGGCTCAGCCATTAGGCGTCTACCTTCGGCTCGGGTCATGATCCCAGGGTCCTGGGATCGAGCCCTGTGTTGGGCTCCCTGCTCCGCGGGAAGCCTGCTTCTCCCTCTCCCACTCGCCCTGCTTGTGTTCCCTCTCTCACTGTGTCTCTCTCTGTCAAATAAATAAATAAAATCTTAAAAAAAAAGATTAAAGTGGCATTTCTTAATGTGTTTTTTTTCTGCTACCCTTCAGGAAGGTGAAATTGTTGAAGTGGATGAAGAAATGGCAGCTATCTTGAAGAATTCCCGATTCACCCAGAATTTTCTGATCAGACCAATTGGAGAGAAGCTGCCAGCATCTAGTGGCTGTTCTGCTTTAGGATCAAAGGTTTGTTTGCCTTTCAATCCCTGCCTTGCCACTGACTGCTAAAACAAGAAACAAATCATTATTCTTTTAGTTGGCCGCTATAAATAATTTCTAGCCATATTTGTATCTACAAAATGATTTGAATTAATTTCATAACTTTATTTTCCAATCTGGATAGTAAGTCAGAGACTCTTAACTTGGTGCACCCATGAATGGACTTCAGGGCATCCATGAATCCCTTAAAATTATATACGTGTATGTGTATTTTCTCAAGAAAGTATCTATTACTTTCATCATTAAAAGATTTTATTTATTTGTGAGAGAGAGTGAGCAAGAGAGAGAGCACAAGCTGGGGGTGGGGGGGAGGGGCAGAGGGAGAAGCAGAGTCTCTGCTGAGCAGGGAGCCCGATGCGGGGCTCGATCCCAGGACCGTGGGATCATGACTTGAGCCGAAGGCAGATGCTTAACGATTGAGCCACCCAGGCGCCCCTCAAACATTTGTAAGTCTTAATTGAGATAGTCAAATTGCCCTACAAAAAGACTGTAGAAGTCTACATGCCTACCTGCAATGTATACCTTTTCCCTGCCGTCTTACTAATACTGGGTATTATTTTTAAAACTCTTTGCTTGTCTGATGGGCAGAAAATAATTTGTTGTTTTATTTTGTATATATTGAACCATTTGCATATTTATTGGCCGGTTATATTTCATCCAATGTGAACTTCCTGTATAATTCCTTTAACCATTTGCTATTAGAGTGGGATTTGCCTTTTTTTTATTGCCCTATAAACAATTATCTGTTATATGTTGTGAATATTTTTTCTCAGCATGTCATCCATCTTTTTATTTGCTTATTTTTCCTGAGTAGACATTTTCAGTTTTTATGTAGTCAATTCCTTTATGGTTTCTGCCTCTTATGTTATGATTAGAAAGACCTTCTCCATGGTGAATGTTATGAATTTACCTATATTTTCTTTAAAAATTTTTTAAGATTTTATTTTTAAGTAATCTCTACACCCAAGGTGGGGCTTGAACTCACAACCCCAAGACCAGGAGTTGCATCCTGCACTGACTGAGCCAGCCAGGGGCCCCACCTATATTTTCTTTTAATACTTTAGACATTCTGGGATAAAATTCATATAACATAAAATTCACTATTTTAACCATTTTAATGTGTACAATTTAGTGATTTTGAGTATGTTTACAAGGTTGTGCAGTCATCACTAGTATCTAGTTTCAGAAAACTTTCATTACCCTCAAAAGAAATCCCATACTTATTAAGCAGTCATTCTGCTATCTCCCCTCCTCCTGGCCTCTGGCAATAAACTAATCTGCTTTCTGTCTCTGGATTTGCCTATGGTGGACATTATTATATAAGTGGAATCATATACTATAAGGCCTTTTGTGTCTGGATTCTTTTACTTAATATAATGTTTTCAAGGTTTATCCGTATGTCAGTACTTCATTCCTTTTTATGTCTGAATAATATTCCATTGCATGGATATACCACATTTTGTTTATCCACTCATCGCTTGATAGATGATTAGGTTCTTTCTATTCCTGGCTGTTCTGAGTAGTATTGTTGTGAACATGCATGTATGTGTATTTCATGTCCTTATTTGAGTACTGGTTTTCAATTCTTTTGGGTCTATACCTAGTCGTGGGGTTGTTGAGTCATATAGTAATTCTACATCCAACTTTTTGAAGACCCACCAAACTGTTTTCCACAGTGGCTGCACCATTTTAAATTCCTACCGGCAACGTATAGATTTCCAATTTCTCTACATCTTTGTCAACACTGTGTTATTTTCTGTTTAGTTTTTATTGTAGTCATCCTAGTCAGTGTGAAGTACCTCACTGTGGTTTGGATTTGCATTTCTCTAATGACTAGTGATGCTAACCATCTTCTCACATGTTTGTTGATCATCTATATGTTTTCTTTGGGGAAATGTCATTTCAGATCCTTTGCCCATTTTTTTTTTTTTAAGAGAGGGAGAGAGAGGGAGGAGGGGCAGGGCGAGAGGGAAAGAGAGAACTTAAGCAGGCTCCATGCCCAGGACAGAGTCCGACATGGGACTCAATTTTCCTACCCAACGCGGGGCTCGATCCCAAGATCCTGGAATCATGACGTGAGCCAAAGGCAGATGCTTAACCAACTGAGCCACCCAGGTGCCCCTAAACCTTGTTTTTAAACAGAATTCAATTTAAAAGTGCCTGGGTGGCTCATTCGGTTAAGCCTCTGCCTTCGGCTCAGGTCGTGATCCCAGGGTCCTAAGATGGAGCCCCACATTGGGCTCAATTTTACAACCCTGAGATCATGACCTCAGATGAAATCAAGAGTTGGACACTTAACTCACTGAGCCACCTAGGATCCTTTGCCCATTTTTAAATTGGGTTGTCTTTTTATTGTTGAGATGTAAGAGCTCTTTATATATTCTGGATACTACTGGACCCTTATCAGATATATGATTTGCAAAACTTTCTCACATTCTGTGTGTTGTCGTTTCACTCTGGATAGTGTCCTTTGATGCACAAAAGTTAATTTTGGTGAAGTTGAATTTTTCTTTTTTCTTTTTTGCTTGCTTGTGCTTTGGGTGTCATAGCTAAAAATCCATTGCTTAATCCAAGGTCATGCAGATTCTTCTAGTGCTTTCATGGTTTTGCGTTTCACATTAAAATTTTTAAACCATCTGGAATTTATTTTAGCATAAATGTTGAGGTACAGTGTGACTATTTCTCCAAATATTAACTAGTTCAAATTTTCCTGTTCATTTATTATATCAATTCCCCACTGTTTTGAAAAGCTAATTTTGATCATATCTTAATTTCTTGAAAGTATACCAGAGCCAGGATACCATTATATTCTAAAGTGATCATTTTCTAAAATATTTTAGATTCATTTTTGGAATTATTCTAGTATCTGAAATATTGGTATAGCATTTTCTAAAGCATTTTATCGCAGTTTATCTCATGCCATCTCCACAGCTACCCAATGAAGAAGGCAGATGGGTAGTTATAATAGAGGTTAGCATCCCTCTTTCTCTTTCTCTCTTAGATATATATATATATATATATATATATATATATATATATATATATATATTTTAAAGATTTTATTTATTTATTTGACAGAGAGAGACACAGCGAGAGAAGGAACACAAGCAGGGGGAGTGGGAGAGGGAGAAGCAGGCTTCCCACTGAGCAGGGAGCCCAATGCAGGGCTCAATCCCAGGATTCTGGGATCATGACCTGAGCTGAAGGCAGACACTTAACGACTGAGCCACCCAGGCGCCCCTCTTTCTTACATATTTAATCCTTTCTCCCATTCATGGTGTCAATTATTTTATTGATCCATTCATTAATTTATAATATTGTATTTAGAACAGGCTGAGTGATGGATTTCAAGTCTCTTTGGGCTGACAGAACTTACAACATTCACCAAAGTCATACCAATGATGTGTCTTGAGGCACTGAATGTTGGAAGCCCCGGGAAATAAGATACTGATATTGCTGCGCCAGGATAGCAGCAGAGCGTGGGGTTTATGTATACAGGCCTTGCAGTCAGATAGGCTAGGTTCAGATCTTGGCTCTACCAGGCATGTGTGATCTCAGGTACATTACCTAACCTCCCTACACCCTCTGTCTCTCCATGTGTAACAGGAAGGTAATAATCACTTTTTCTACTCGGGGTGTGAGGATCAATGGGGATGATCTATGGAGAATGTTAGCCTGATGCCTGGCACATAATACACACTCAAGAAATAGAAGTAGTTACAGTTATGGATTTGTACTAATTAAGATTCTTGGTCACTTGGAACCGTGTTCTAGGATTTCTCATTCTTCCTGACACACCCTTTCTCCTGGGCCCAGAGATTCTCTAATCTTTTGCCATGAATTTTTCCTTTCTTTTGCTTGTATTTTGTAGTAACTTTGGATACATCAAGCATACATTGAGACACAAGTAACTCATATGCCTTTTTCTCCTCCTTCTGTTACATTTTAAGCAGTCTTTAAGTGTAAAGCTTGTTTAGAGATCACTCTCCAAAATGGTAAATTTATAGTTGGGAAAGTTTAATTGAACACAAGAGGCAGGAATTCTGGAGCCAAAAAACCGAATGTGTTCTTGTTTGGCCACTCTTACCAGCATGAATCAAGTGCAAGCTAAATGTAGGAGCCACCTCTAGAGCTGAAGAGTGATTTAGGTTTTGCTTTATTAAATTCTTGAGCCCTCTGCTATTTGTTACTCTTCTGTTTTTCTAAGCAGATGCCTTTTTGGAAAGTAGAGAAATGTGACTTTGGACCTTTCGGTCCTTGAAACCTTTCACAAATGTGTTATTGGTAGTTTGAAATTCTTGGGAGTTCACTGATAACCAAACCTTGCTGGTGAGAATCAATGTGTATTTTGAAATGTTTTCATCATTCTAATTCTCCTGGAACCTGGGTTCCTGAATCCTAGTTAGAAAAGCTGTCAGCAGGTTACGGTTATAAGTAAAAGGAGTGTTTCCTCCAACCACAACACTTCCAGTGTACTCTGGCTGTAAAAAAAAAAAAAGTCATTAAGTGGGCTGGCTTCCGCAGAGACCCCTTTCTTCCAGCCTGGCTCTCCTTGACCTCCCTTTTAGTGTGCACGCGGGGCGTGCAGGAGGGCTCTTGACCTCACATACCAATCATAACTTGCCACGTACTTGGACTGGTTTATCCCCCCTGCCTCCTCTCTCATCTACCTTGGTTCTTTCAGCGTGCTGATGGGCCATTGTCTTTAGATCAGTTCCAAGGTTTTGAAATGGCAATCACTGACAGTGAAGGGAGATTTAAGGAATGAAACAGCTGCGTGTCCTAGAAATATAACCTTGTGTGCTTGGAGGGGGACGTTCCTGTCCGATAAAGGCCGAGAGCACAGTGCAGGCAGGTGGCACGTGGGGGTTGCTGGTGCTCGCATCTTCCCAACACCTGCCCCCGGTGAGGACTGCTGCTTCTTCCTGAGCATTGACTCAGTGAGGACTGTTTCCAAGAGCCCTTCTTTTCTTTCTTTTGTCCTCTTCTCTTTCCTCCTGCCCTTCCTGCTCCTCCCCCCTCCCCCCTTCCTCTTCTCTTCCTACTTCTCTTCTAACCCTGACAAGGAAAGGGTATCTTGCTATTTTTTTTTAAAGATTGTATTTATTTATTTGAGAGAGAGAGAGAATGAGAGAGAGAGAGCACGAGAGGGAAGAGGGTCAGAGGGAGAAGCAGACTCCCCGCCGAGCAGGGAGCCCGATGCGGGACTCGATCCCGGGACTCCAGGATCATGACCTGAGCCGAAGGCAGTTGCTTAACCGACTGAGCCACCCAGGCGCCCGGGTGTCTTGCTATTAAAGGAATTACATTAGGGGCACCTGGGTGGCTCAGTTGGTTGGAGTGTCCGACTCTTGATCTTGGCTCAGGGATTGATCTCAGGATCGTGAGTTCAGGCCCCACACTGGACTCCACACTGGGCATGCAGCCTCCAGAAAAAAAAAGAGAATTACATTAGTAAAACACTGCAGGATCTGAAATGATGCATGTAGAATTGTGGTATGCAGTGTCTTGCCACAGTTAATAGCAGTGGTAGTAACAACATCAGCAACACTAGGAATAGTGTTAGAGGACCTAGGCTTTACTGAACAGGTCACATGTTCAAGGTACTCTGTCACTTTGTCCTCACAATAACCCTTATTATTCTCATTTTACAGATGAAGAACCTAAGACTCAGAGTAGATTAATGTACTAACCCAAGGTCACAGAGCTAGAAGGGGTGAATTTGAACCCATGTTGGATTCTAGAGCTGACATTCTTACCCAATTTGCTGTACTACCTCTCTGTATCTAGACTTTTCGTAGAATCACCGGATGTTGGTGCTGGAAAGGACTGTTTCTCAACATGTCTCACCTTTTATTTCCTTTAAGTCTTGGGATCTTTTAGGGGTGGGAGCATGGATTAGGAAGTGATATTGATATCACTATCTCCTATTAGTAGAGAGGACATGGGATGGGAAGAAAAAGAGTGGAAGATCATTTTCCTGGGTGAAAAGGAGGAGAGGCTAACTCTTATGACCAGGAATTCCAGTGTAGCAAGAGCAGGAAATAAACAGTGGACAGGAGGACCTGGCAGCAGTGACTAGCATAGCTAGCCCTCTTCCAGGCTTGGAGATCCTCCCTGCTGGATGCTAGCTTACCTGTTAGGGAGCCAGATCCAGGCAGGCATCTTCATTCTAGAAAGGTGGAAACTGCAGGTCACGGAGGCCCAGACCCCCAGTGGGTATTTCAGTAAAGGAAGTGGTCCGTAACACTGCCTTCATGAATGTAGGGTCAGGGAGGCCCAGGCCCCCAGTGGGTATTTCAGTAAGGGGAGTGGTCCATAAGACTGTCCTTCATGAACTGCGGGTCAGGGAGGCCCAGGCCCCCAGTGGGTATTTCAGTAAGGGGAGTGGTCCGTAAGACTGTCCTTCATGAACTGCAGGTCAGGGAGGCCCAGGCCCCCAGTGGGTATTTCAGTAAGGGGAGTGGTCTGTAAGACTGTCCTTCATGAATGTAGGGTCCACGCCTGTCTTGTCCTTCCTTCTATTTGCAGTGACCAATGATCAATAGTAAGAGTGTACATTTATAAGTTCAGTGAATTCATTATCATTATTTGAGGTGGATTGTTCATGCTCTTGATTTCTTGCCTTTGTGCCTGGTTTTTCTCTGGCCTCACTGGTGCTGCTGTTGGAGGTATCTCATTTGGAAGTGAAAGGAAGAAAAATAAAGACTGCCATCTTGTCTTCTGAAAATTCCACTCACTCTGCCCTGAAATCTTGCTGGCTGTTGTTGGCAATCTCAGTATCTGAACATCAGCAGTGGCTAATGACGGCCCTGGTGTGTAGGACTTGCCTTCTTGTCTTGCACACGTTTCTAGAGATGAGAGTAAGGGAAGGAAAGAAGTGTCAGCATTTTGGTATTCAGTTCCAGAAGGGTAAAAGGCACGTAAAATGGGACTCCCATAAAACAAAATGAAACAAAATCAACTTTCCAACTTTTCCCTAGGGACCACCTCTACGAACCTTTAAGTGAAGTTTACCTTGAAAGTGGTAAAAACTTGGGACACCTGGGCGGCTCAGTCGGTTAAGCGTCTGTCTTCGGTTCAGGTCACGATCCCGGGATCCTGGGATCGAGTACCACATCGGACTCCCTGCTCAGCGGGGAGTCTGCTTCTCCCTCTGCCTGCCACTCCCCCTGCTTGTGCTCTCTTTCTCTCTGGCAAATAAATAAATAAATAAAATATTTTTTGAAAAGGGAAAGAAAGTAGTAAACATTTGATTAGAAGCTTCTGGACGAGACAGTCACCTTTATAGATGAATCCCAAGGATCCTGTGGAATTATAAAATTTTATCTACCTCCTAGGTAAGCCAACCTCAGTCAAACTGAAATATGAGTATTGGGGTACATCAAAACACCTTTAACTTGTCCTTTCGTTTTGGTTTGCCTTTTGACAGGGTGTAATCACAGATCCTTTCAAGCTTGCAGGAGAGTCCAACAATGCAAATCCCGGATGTTCTTCTGATGTTGCTGGAGGCTGCTGTCTGTAATTTACAGCTGACCAGAAGAAAGGGGCAGGCGGTGAAGGACTTACGTGTCCTTTAATCTCCTCTTACCCATAGCACAGACCATAAGAAAGAATAAATGGTGAAAAGCCACTATGTTCTAGATCATTGCTAAAAATAATGAATTATTTTTTGGAAGATATTAATTGAAGGTTCGTAGCAAATGACATAAAGGCGGGTTTTCCTCTCTTTGCTAATTCAAAGTTCTGGTGCCACCTAGTGGTCAGATTTGGAACTGAGACACAGTCTTCGGGCTTGGCCAATGAGCAAGAAGGGCTTCAGGAGTCTCAGGAAAAACATCTTTCTTCTGACCTGCATAGCACCTTTTGGACTTTCACCGTGTTTGCTCATAAAACAAAGCTCCAACTGAAATCATGCTAATCATGCCAAAAAAATTGCAAAATCAAATTTGGTAGGAGTGCTCTTAAGATATCTTCTAAATCAAACACTTTTTTTTGTAATTGAATGAAGAAAACAATTGAATAATGAATCTCTTTGACCTCATTAGATCCTAAAGAATGACAACATTGTGACTATCTGTAGTAAATCTTAACCGGATCAGGAAAAGAGTGATAATTTTTAAAAAGAGAGGTAGGAGATATAAAAACAGTGGGTTTTCTTTTCCTTTATAATGTGTCCCTGTTAAACTTTTAGGAAACTATTAGATTTAGTTCTAGCTTCCATAGTTAAAGAATGAGGTTGAGGACTATTTCAGGATGATGTCATCATTAGAAACGAGAACGTTATTTAATTAAATCCAGTTGCACTTGAAGACTTTGTCAGGGGACACAGAAAGGTGTAAGTCATATATAAGCCATGGTCCTTGTCATCAGGAGCTTATCAGTTCTTTAATAACAGCCTTTAAGCATGAAGAGTTTTAATGAGAAAAAGCTCAGCCAGTTGCTCTGACTTCAGTGCAAAATAACAAGGGGGGAATGGCATGACCCAAGAGATTTTTTATTAGGGTTATGAGAATATTTGTAAAACATTGGAATGGATTCTATATTCCAGACCCCTCTTTTAATAAAGCTGTTAAAAATGGAGAAATTCTCAGATTTCTGAGTGGGTTCAGCCATAGGAACTAACTTACTACTACAGAATAAGAAGAGGACTGGGTCATATCTTTTAAGATCTATTCATCTCTGTGACCTTGATTCAAAACAGTGTTTTCATGGTTCTAGAGTTCAGTATCTACTCAGCCGTAACCTACTTCAGTGACAGCATTAGTTAGACCAGTACAGGTGGGATTAAGCATACTTCACCATCCATGAGCCCAAGGTGGTCCTACTATAGGGGGAAAGGATGAAAAGAGAGGACATTCTGGTTATTGGTTTATTAGGCTTTTCTAAATTTAGAGAGAGGAGGTTTTAGGCAATTACTTGTCATTCTGAATTCTCAGTTCCCCCAAAAGATGATGAGGGATGAGTGTGAACTGGAATGTGGAAACTCGTGTTGGGCTTTTCCTAAGAATAACCTACTTTATACATTATCTTCCAACAAAATATACATCGTAAGAACTGTATGTGATCTAGAATCTAGACAAAATATTAACTACATAATATAAAATAAAGTAGACATGTTCTGTTCATAAAAAAAATGCCATACGTGGTTATTTAAATATTCAAAATAGGTGAGAGACAACTAGGAGCAGACATCCCTTCTCACAGAGGATGCCTCTCCTTTAAGCGTGGGAAGCAGTGTGGAATGAGGAGGAGGAGGAGCAGAAGTCTGATGGCAAACTTGATGGTTCTTTTCCCACTTGGCATTTTGGCCTTGAGAAAATTATTTAACATCTCTGTGCCTTTGTTCCCTCGTCTGCATGAAGTTCTTTGAAAGGGTGGGTGGCACATGGTTTACATTGTTATTAGTTTGGATCTATATGGTTGCCACCAGCATGTGATGGCAGGACCAGCTGAAGACCAACTTGCTGCCAGAGCATGGTTTAAGAAGCTGCCTGTAGCTCTTTGGACAGCAGACAACTTTCCCCTCAACATTGTATTACCACCTTTTCAAATACGCAGAAAAGTTTGAAACATTGGAGTGACTTGCCTGTTTACCTACCACCTAGGTTACCTGTTAACTTTCATTTCATACATTTTATACTTAAAAACAGCAGAGCCAGAGAAACAAGTGCCTGATTCTTCTGTAGTTACAAACACTTTTCAGAAGATACTGGACTTATGGGGTGCCTGGCTGGCTCAGTGGGTAGAACGTGCAGCTCCTAGGCTTGGGGTTGTGAGTTGGAGTCCAACATTGGGTGTAGAGTTTACATTAAAAAAAAAAAGTTAGTGGCCTTAAAGGGTTTGAGGAGATTTTCTCTTAATTGATTATTGTACCAAATATAGTATTTTCAGTCCTTCGTTATCATAGGGAGAGAATTTATTTAAAAATCAGCTAAGGGGCGCCTGGGGGCCCTGAGCTGGGCTCCGCGCTCAGCCGGGGAGTCTGCTTTTGGATTCTCTCTCTCCCTCTGCCCCTCCCCTTGCTCACACTCTCTTTATCTCTCTTAAATAAATAAATAGATAAATAAATAAACAAATCTTTATTTAAAAAAAAATCAGGTAAGCCTGCAGAGGCTTTTCTGCTTACCTACTGGAGGGAGCACAGCAGTAGCTTAAACAGGATCCCACCCCCACCCCCACCTCCAGCCACACATGGCTGAAAAGGGCATGGCTCTGTGCCAAGACAGCAGCAGAGCCTGCTTCTCTTATTGATTCTTGGCCTTGCCTTGGATGGCTCCTAGGAAGCAGCAAAGGGATGACTAATTCTGCCTTATTAGATTGGGAGGTCTCCTAAGGGAGCCTGGCAAGGAATGTGAAGCTATCCATCCAGTCTTTCATTTATTCACTAACAACTACCTACTCCGTACCAGGCACTGTCCTAGGCCCAGATCACTAATAATCAAAGATGATGAATCCCATGGGCCAGCAGGACCAAAACAGCTAAGCCTGTTTTCTAAATGTTGTTGGCACCTGTCCTAACTTCTGCGATTTGCCAAGTTTCTTCAACCACACAGATAGCACAGATGAGGTCTTAACAAGGGTTCTTTCGAAGACTCTGCCGGGAGAGTCAGTAGAGGGAGATCTCACTAGATGATAAAAATTAACTCTTTTGCAAATATGGGGCTGGAATTATACAATCCTAATAGTAACCTATGACTTGAGCTTTACTGCCTCATTCCTGTCTCTGGTCAGCTGCTGACCCTGCAATTTCTGCAAGCACAGCTCCCACTGAGGTTAATGGGAGTGTTCTGTGAATGTAAGTTTTGTACTTAATCTTCTCCTGCTGCGTGAGCCTTGCTTGTCTTGGACTGATGACCGTACCAATCCCCTTCCCCAATGGGAACATGCTAGCCCCTCCTTTCATGGAGCAGAGCCTTGTAGCCGTGGTATGCTCCAGGTGAGGGGAAAATCAATTTGGGACAAAAACGTTCTGCTCTAATGTTACTCCACTGCTTCATAGTAATAGCACCCTGCCTCCTATATGTTGTCTAGACGCCCGAGAGAGTAAAAGAGAACAGTATATCGATGCCGTTGCGGGGCACTGTAAGCCAGACTTGGCTCTACTGACTTTTTAACTAGGCCTACAGCCATTAACTCTCTTCTCATTTGTGGAATGAGAATTGATGCAGGAGACCAGAAGCAGGTATTCGTTCTCGATCTGGCTCCACTGCCAAACTAGCTACTTGGCTGTAGGAAAATCGTGTGTCCACTTTGCGGTTCACTTTCCCCGTCCGTGAAAGAAGGGAGTTGAATTTGGTATACTCTACATTCCCTGCCAGGCTGGGAAACAGATTTATGGACCTAGAATCTGGAGAGGTCACAGTGCTTTTGAAATTGTTTGAATTTGTTGCCCGCATTTATAAATCAGAAGTTTTACATAAAATATGAATTTCTACTTCTCTCAGAGAAGTAGAAATGTTGGCCCCACGAGCCTGGCATTTCTGCCCAGGTGCCATGGCCAGAGTGTAGAGGCTTCCCCTCCAGCCAGAGTGTGCCCCTTCTGTCTGCTGCCATCCCTGTCCCATCTGCTTTACCGACCCCTGTAGGCTTTTGAGTTTGTGGCCTGTTTTAGGACTAGGATGCGCACATTTTCAACAAAAGTTACCAGTGAGGGCTTTATCCCCATGATCATTCAAACGACGGCCGGTCTATGGCCTCATCTAGGAATCTGACTTATATATTTAATTCATTACAAGCAGAAGCCAAGAAGGGCACGTGGAGCTTCGCAGGGATGCTCGCAGGAGGGAACCAGGGTGCCGGGGCTGCTTATGGTAATTTGACATATAACTCAGAGCCTAATTGTGTCAGGTGAGGTGATCTGGACAGTTTATTCTCCGTTCCCAGAGTTAACAAGCCTCCATCACATAACTTTCTTTGTGAATGTTAAATGAACATCCCTTGGAAAGCTAAAACCTCAAAATGTCAAGTTGCTAGGGAGGAAAGGTTTGCACAGCAAGCACAGAAGGATCTGTGCAGCTTCTAGGCTTAGTAGTTAATCTTTTATTAACTGTCCTTATTTTCTTTTTCTTATTAACCTTCTTATTTCTTTCATTTGGATCTAACTAAGGAAATGTTGTGAGGGAGGTATTTTTCTTTTTGCTTCTAAATAATGGAAGAGAAGCCCATAAAGCTGATGCAGCCCTTTAAAAATGGTGATTTCTTGAGATAATGAGGAAGAGTCACTGTGGCTATAAACCATGCCAAATGCCCCAAGTTGTGTCTTTACTGAAAATAATTCCCTTTTACCTCTTTTACAATGCTGATTTTTCTAATTTTACACAAGAGAAAACCGAGGCTGAGGATATTTAAATGACTTGCATGATGGGAGTAGAGCCTAAAAAGTGTTGGAACCGATGCTAGAATGAGATCTAGTATAATCCTGTCATATTCTAGGGTCTGTCCTTGCTCTCCTTTTGGGCATTCCCAAATTAAAAAAATATAGCAATGAAAAAGGGACAATGACTGCTATAAAAGTAAGAATAATGGTTACATCTAGGCTGGAGGAGAGGGGTGTGATCTAGAAGGGAGCTAGAGGGTCTTTCTCAACTAGGGGTGGTTCCTTTTATTACAGGATGAACATAATCTTTGCCTGGGACTGTCCCA